GCTGTTTTGCGTCCAGGATTTTCCCTCGAGAGGTGTCTATGATGTGTCTTTCATGGAACAGGAGCAAGTAACTACGGTGATGGAACGGCTGAAGATCAAAGAGGGTGATGTATTGTTGAATGGGATTACCGTTACCCCGTATGTTCCGGTGGTGAAAATACCGATTGTTGTACATATGTACAATCCTTTTGTTACGGATGAGGAAATCACGGTGTTCTTAAGTAGATACTGTTCGGTGGTGGGTAAACCTTTTAAAATGGTGAATATGTTTGGCGTGTTCAATGGGAAGAGGAAGTTTTTGGTGACACTAAGGCCAGATCCGACAGAGTCGAGTGGGATTAAGCACCCACCTCAGAACTTCTCAATTGGTGGTAACAGAGGTTACCTATATTATCCAGGGCAGCCAAAGTATTGTAGAAACTGCTTTCAGTTTGGCCATCTGAGTGATGAATGTGTCAAGGGCCAGTGCTGCAGAAACTGTTTTGGGGAGGGTCACTCTGCTGCCGAATGTGCTGAAAGGAGGAGATGCGATCTGTGTGGTTCTGGTGAGCATATGGCTAGGTCGTGTCCAAGGATGCGGCAAGACCCTCCCTGGACAGATACCAAGGAGGGAGTGGGTGAGGTGGAGACAGGAGGCAGTGTGGCTGCAAAGATCCTGTCAAAACCAAAGATCCCTTTCATCCCGACCTTTGGGACGCAGCTTAGGTCCAAAGAGGAGATAGAGGAAAGGCACGCGAAGATTATGGCCGAAGATAGAGCGAAAAAGCTACAGAAGACGGCTGTGGCAGAAGCAATGGAGTTGGAAGAAGGTTTGGCAGCTGAAGATGTGGTGGCGGGCCCCTCACTCCTGGCGGATCTTGGTGAAGAGGTAGGTGTGGATAGTCCTCCGGTGTCTAAGAAAATAAAGAAAGGCACACAAGCCCTCTCGAGGGAATTTCCGAAACTGATGATGGAATCATTATCTGATTCTGAGGAGAAGTCGGGATCGGAGTTTTCAGATTCGTTGTCCCCATGTTTTGATACAAGGTCAGCTATGAGACATGGGTTCGTCCTTAGTCCCTCCCAAGAGTCTGGGGGGGGAGAAGTGTCAGACGAGAAGACGTGAAAATAATGAAGAAGTATTTTAACTTCTGATGTTTTCTGTCGTCTCCTTGAATGTCAGGAGCATTAAGGCCGCTCCAAGAAGAGCTCTGATTTTTGATTTTTTGAGCAGACTAGTGCTGGCCATTATTTGTTTACAAGAATGCAACCTGGCAGAGAGACCAATGGGGACAAAATGGGAATATGGCCCTTCTGTTTATTCGTGTGGTGATGGTAATAATATTGGTGTTGCAATTTTATTTAAGGGATGGGAATTTGAAGTAGTTAAAGTGTTGGAATTTATCACGGGGAGGGTTTTGATTGTTCATTTTTTATTTCGGGGTACAGTATTTCGAGTTGTTAATGTTTATGCACCTGCAGTGAAAAAAGAGAGAGTGAATGTGTTTGAATGTTTGGGGTTGGTGATGTCAGGGAGGGAGGGTACTTTTTTAGTAGGTGACTTTAATTGTATTATTAGAAGGGAAGATAGAATAGGTTCAGGTGATGGGTATAAGTTAGATAGATCAGGACGGGTGTTAGTAAATTTGATTAGGGATTTTGGGTTTACAGATGCTGTAGGGGTTATGGGGGGGGAGGAGGAGGTTTTTACTTTTTTTAGCGATAAGGGTAATATTAAGTCACGTATTGATTTCTGTTTTACTTCACGAGGTGTTATTGCTGAATCTTTGCGTGCATCACGGGTTCCGTTTTCGGATCATGTGATGTTGGTGTGCAAAGGGAAAATGAATGTAAAATTGGAATATGGAAGGGGTTTATGGAAGTTGAATGTACGAATGCTGATGGATGAACAGGTGAGAGAGGAATATTGCATATGTTATGGTAGATGGAGGGATTGTAAGAATAAGTTTGAGAATATAAGTGTGTGGTGGGAATGGATAAAAATGAAAACAAAATTGTTCTTCATAAGGAAGGGATGGGAAAAAGCGAGAAGTGAAAGAGAATGTTGGGATATATGGCGAAAGCGTACTGACTATTTGTGTAAATTGAGAGAATTGGGATGGGAGGTAGAGGATGAACTGGAAGAAGCAAGGGAATGGAAGAGGAAGTGTTTAGAAGAGAGAGGTAGGAAGATTGTGTTCGCGGCTAAGTTGAATGTGTTAGAATTGGATGAGAAATGTACTAGATTCTTTTTTAAAAAAGCGTATGAATGTAAAAAGGGAATGGAAGGTATATTGACTAAGGAAGGTGTTCTTGTGAGTGACAAAGGACAAATGTTGAACGAAGTACATAGATTTTATAATGAGTTGTATAAGGTAAAAATGAGAGATGTAAGTTTGGAAGGTGATATGATGGAGCATGTTGAAAAAAGAATAAATGAGACGGATGTTTGTTTTTTGGTGAGAGATGTGGATAAAAAAGAATTGCATGATACGGTTTGTGATTTTAAATTAAATAAAACGCCTGGGAGTGATGGATTGCCTGTTGAATTCTATAGGATGTGTTGGAATGTGATTGAAGACGATTTTTTAGAGGTATGTAAGTTTATTTTGGGTGAAGGAAGAATGACGGAATCAATGAGGAAAGGTATAATTGTTTTAATATTTAAAAAGGGTGAGAAGAATGATTTGAGAAATTGGAGGCCGATTACTTTATTGAACATGGATTACAAAATAATTGCGAAAGTGATGGCAAATAGGATGAAGATGGTGATTGAGGATATGATTGGGGAGGAACAAATTTGTGCGGTACCTGGAAGGCAGATTGCGGAATGTTTGATAGGTTTGAGAGATGTGTTGTGGTATTGTTTGGAAAGGAAGAAAGAGGTGGCTGTTGTAACTATTGACTTTGAAAAAGCGTATGATAGAGTGTCGCATGATTTTATGTTTTGTGTGTTAGAAAGAATGGGAGTACCTGATAAATTATTGCAATGGATTAGATGTTTGTATAATGATGTTGAAAGCGTAGTACAAGTGAATGGATGGATGACGGAAAGTTTTAAGATACGATCAGGGGTGAGACAGGGTTGTCCCCTGTCCCCAATTCTTTTTATATGCGTGATTGAACCTTTGTTGAGAAATATTATGAATGATAAGATTGTGAAAGGAATTGAGATACCTGGTAGTAATGCAAGGAGTATGAAAGTGATTGGATATATGGATGATGTAACAATTGTATGTAAATCACAACCAGGATTAAGGAGAGTGAGATTGTTGATTGAAATTTTTTGTATGGCAAGTGGCTTTAGGGTGAATTGGAATAAATGTGCGTGCAAGACTTTTGGTGATTGGAGAGAGGTAGAGTTGTGTGGATGGCCTGTGATTGAAAATGAGATTGAAGTGTTGGGTGTTAAATTTGATGAAGAATTAAAAGGGAAAGGAAGTTGGAATGATATTGTTCATAGAGTGAATCAGAAAATTGGGTTATGGAGTGATAGAGTGTTATCGTTTGAAGGAAAGGTTTTAATAATAAAAGCTGTTTTACTACCGATGATGTTGTATGTGAATTTTGTTTTTCCAATTGGGGATAAAAGTTTGCGGAAGTTGGTGAGAATTATATTTTTATTTTTTTGGGGATGCAGAATGGAGAGATTGAGCCGAGAGAAAGTGTTTAAATTACGGAAGAATGGTGGGATGAATGTACCGGACTTAGAAAGGTTTTTACTGATCCATTATGTGAGTTTGTGTGTGAAGATTTGTAAGAAAGAGAGTATGGTTGCGTGTATGTTAAGGTATGCGGCAGGTATGAGTCTTAGAAGATGTGGATTGCATGAGATTGATAGGACAAAGCCAGTTTGTTTTACAGTACCGTGGTTTTATCGAAAGATTGACGTCTGTCTGAGTAAGTATGAATTGCAAAATATTTCAATTAGTGAATGGGGTGAGAAACGAAAGGTTTTTAAAATTTTGAATATGAGAGAGAATGTAATTAGAATTGATGGGTTGAATGAGAATCAAAGTAAGGAAGTATGGAGAAGAATGAATGATATAGAAGTTGTTAATAGACAGAGAGATTTGGCATGGATGGCTATACATAATTGTTTACCTACGAGAGAAATGCAGTATGGGAGAAGATTGGCAAGGTCTGAATTGTGTCCAAGAATTGGGTGTGGTGGGAGAGAGAATGTAGTGCATGTGTTATGGAATTGTGAGTTTGTAAGAGAAGTGAATAAAAAATTATTGAAATTAGTGGTAGGTTTGACTGGTATATCTGTTTTTTCGTTTGAAGTGTTGTTGTTTGGATTATGTAAATTAGAAAAAGAGAAAGAGAGAGTGTTGTGGATGATGATGGCATGTATTAAAGAAACGTTATGGGATGTTAGAAATTTGTTTGTCTTTAAACATGAAGATTTATCTGTTGATGCATGTGTACGTATGGTGAGAGGCAAAATGTATCTATATTACTTAAGAGACGTGAAGAGAAAGAATGAAATGGATGCAGAGGGTGTTTGGAAAACTAAAAAGTGGAAGAAATGGTGCACGTAAAGATTCGGTAGGTGGAGGGTAGTTTTTCTTTTTTTGTGTAAATTGTGAATATTTTATTGCTTTTTGAGTAAAAAAAAATAAAAAAAAATGGTAGGAATAGTAGTTGTGCAATGTTAATAATATGTGTATCTTTTTTTATAGGGGTAAGAGGAATGAAGTTTGGTGGGTATTGGTAATGTTGGGTGGTGGGTTGTGAGGCGTTTTTGTAAATATGGTGGCTATGATGTATATTTAACGTTTGCCAATAGATAAATAAAAAAAAAAAATAAAAAAAATGGGGGTAAGTATGATTCGGAAGAATGAATGTGTGTAGGATTTAAAGCTTGCAGTGAATTCTTTTTGGTGGGTGGTTTGCTGTGATTTTGGGGTGGTGATGGGATTTGCTGTGTTTTTTGCTGTGATGTGATTATTTAATTTTTTATTGAAAATGACCATGAGGATGTTACCTGAGAGATTCCTTGAACAACATCTGGAGGAAATGCTCTGTGACTGAGTGGTTAGAAAAAAAAAAAATCTGTTCTTATCAGTTTAATATCTGATACGTCCCCTATCTGGGGACCATATATTAAATGGATTTTTGGGACAGGGAGATGGAAGAAGAGCTTGCTCTGTCCACTCCACGCATTGACCTGGTATTGCAGTACCTCCAGGACCGGTGCACCTCTCTTATGCTGGTTACAAAAATAGAATTGAAAAAGAAAAAGCAAGCCTCTGGACTCTCACTTGGTGGGTGGCAAAGAAATGCAGGAAACCTGCAAACGAAGGCAAACGCGTTCTCCTTTCCTGCTTTCTTTCTCTGCCGTAAGTGCGATCTCTGCCTCCCCCTGTCTGCGGCATGCCTGAATGAAGCCCGGACCGACCGACCGAGCGACCAAAAGCATTCCTTGCAATTATGGACACTTGTAGCAATGTTTGGTAACTGTTATTTCATTTGGATAGCTTGTCCGATTTGTTATTATCTATCATGTGCTGTGTGTGCAACATTCAATTCTGTTCACCTGATGCAATGTATTCATTGTTGTCCTGTAAATCTGTGTAATCACTTCATTGAATAAATAAATGTGCCAAGTATATCCATTGGGAAGCCAGAGTATTTCTATGGCTGGCTGGCTGGCTGGCTGGCTGCATTATCAGTGTTGAAAAGTGGGCGGTATTATGCAAATCTTCTGCAGCCTGCAGCATGCTGGTCTTTGAAATTACAGCACTAATGTTTTGGAGGGAAATCGGAGCAACATCCAAGTAACCAATTAAGGGTTTAATTAATTGAATCATTGAGTGAGTGAGCAAACCAGCAGGTGCTTAATTGCTTGCTCTATCTACCCTACTTGCAGCTGAAGAGGAACAGACCAGGTGATCCAGCAGCCTCGTTAGGCTCATCAGTGGTAGCAGCTGGAGAGGGAGAGGTGCAAGGTATGTCTGGAGGGGAGCATATAGAGGAATGGACAAGGTTAAGAAGGGGAGCTGTGTTTCCAGGGCTCAGAGGTTGTGTGCTCTGTGACTGACTGTGTCTCTGTTGCTATTTGTAGCCAGCTTACACCTAGATGAGGAAGAGGTGGGTGGCACTGTGCCCAAGGCTCACCGCAAGCTGAAGAAGCCCAGGCGAATGGCAGGTTAGTAGCTGGGCGCCCATTCCGGTTATCGCTTCTCGGCCTTTTGGCTAAGATCAGTGTAAACTGTTCTGGGCATTAGGTTCTGGTGGATCGGTAACGCTAGCCCCTCGGCCTTCCAGACTGTGTTCCCTTAGTGGGGACGTGGTCTGGATGCTGCTATTGGGGGGCGATCCGCACTGACACCAGAAACGAGAAGTGATACAGAATGGAGCGGAGTGCACCTTCGTTCCCGCAGACAGTTCGGCTGGTATTATCTGAAGAAAGGAGGCGAATCGCAGGTTTGCAGACTGTACAGCGAGAAGTGCTTGAGGGTTTACTCTGTGTGCCCAGAGATTGGCTGTTCTGTGTCCAGGACTTCCCTGCTCGTGGTATCTATGATATCACCTTCCAAGAGCAGGAGCAAGTTGTAACGGTGATGGAGCGGAAAAGGCAGAAAGAAGGCGACCCCTTGTTAGAGGGCATATCCTTTATCCCTTATGTTCCTGTGGCTCGTATTCCCTTGTGCGTTCATATGTATAACCCTTTTGTGTCTGATGAGGAGGTTATGGCGTTCCTTAACCGGTATTGCTCAGTGGTGTCTAAACCTTTGAAACTTCTGAATATGTATGGAGTATACAATGGCAAACGTAAGTTCTTCGTGGTACTAAGACCCGATTCAGCAGAGGTAAGTGGGCTGAAACACCCCCCACAAAATTTTTCTATAGGTGGAAATAGAGGGTATTTGTTCTACCCTGGTCAGCCACGTTATTGCAGAAACTGCTTCCAGTTTGGCCACGTTAAAGAAGAATGTAAAAAAGATATGTGTTGCAGGAATTGTTTTGCAGAAGGTCATACCGCTGCAGAATGTGCAGAGCGGCGGAAGTGTGACCTATGTGGAGCAAACACTCATTTGGCGAGATTTTGCCCAGATAGGTTCAAAGAACCTGCTCGTGAAGAAAATAAAGGGGTAAGCTTGGCAGATCCTGCTAGTAAAAGTGAAATTGCAAAAGATGTCTCTAAAGTGCGTATCCCTTTTATTCCTACTTTCGGTACTCAGCTTAGATCTAAGGAAGAGGTGGAAGCACGACATGCTCAAATAATGGCAGAGGATCGGGCTAAAAAAGCTACAGTATCTGGAGGAGAAGTTGTTACTGAAGAAATGGAGAGTAATGACCCTACTGTAGCAGACCCTGAGGCTCATAGCATTCCTGTGTCTGATATTTCGGAGGAGGAAGCAGTTGGTAAGACCCCTTGTGCTAAGAGAAAAAAAAGAAAAGGGGTAGAGTTAAAATTATCAAGAGATTTTCCAAGGGGCCTGGGGGAGTCTTCCTCTGAGGTTGAGGATCGGGCAGGGTCAGAAACGTCTGGCTCTTTTTCACCGATCTTTGACACCCAGGCGGTGTCCCGACTTGTGGATATATCAGGGTTCTCACAGGACCTTGAAGAAATGCTGGAGTCAGTCAGTGGGACGTGAAATGATGAGGTTATACACCTCTGATTCATGTTTTGTATTGCCTCACTAAATGTGAGAAGTTTGAAGAGAACTTCTAGACGCGCATTTATTTTTAATTTTTTGCAAAAATTAACTTGTCATATTATGTGTTTGCAGGAGTGCGGTCTGGAAGAAAAACCAAACAATGTTAAATGGGAGTGGGGACCATCTATTTTTTCATGTGGTGTTGGGAAAAATATGGGAGTTGCGGTATTATTTAGAGGGTGGGAATTTAAAATCTTAAAAGTATTAGAAGTAGTGTCGGGGAGGGTTTTGGTAGTTCATTTTTTATATAGGGGCACTGTTTGTAGGATAATAAATGTATATGCACCGGTAGATAGAAAAGATAGGTTGAATGTTTTTGAATGTTTGGGTATGGTATTGCCAGGGAGGGAATTAACTATTTTGATAGGGGATTTTAATTGTATTTTGAAAAGGGAGGATAGGGTGGGAACTGAAGTTGGTTATAATTTGGATAAGTCAGGGCGGGTTTTGAATAATTTAGTTAAAGATTTTGGGCTTTATGATGCAGTTGGGGTTATGGGAAATGTTGACACTTTTACGTTTTTTAGTGATAAAGGTAGTATTAAATCACGTATTGATTTTTGTTTTCTTTCACAGGGTGTTGTAGCGGAAGTTCTGCGCACATCAAAAGTCATTTTTTCTGATCATGTGCTGTTGGAATGTGAGGTGAGAATGGAGTTGAAAATGGAATTTGGTAGAAGCTTTTGGAAATTGAATGTGAGTATGTTAATGGATATGGAAGTGAAAGAAGAATATATTGTTAAATATAGGTACTGGAAGGAGTGTAAATGTAAATTTGATGATGTTATTGAGTGGTGGGAATGGGTGAAAGTAAAAACAAAGTTATTTTTTACTAGGAAAGGATGGGAAAAAGCTAGAAAGGAGAGAGAATGGTTGGATAAGTGGAGAGTAAGAATCGAGTATTTGCGTAAATTGAGAGAATTAGGATGGGAGGTGGATGATGATTTAGAAAGTGCGAGAGAAAGTAGGAATAAATGTTTGGAAGAAAGAGGGAAAAAAATTGTATTTGCAGCTAAGTTAAATGTATTGGAAAAAGATGAGAAGTGCTCTAGATTCTTTTTTAAGAAAGTGTATGAAGGAAAGAAAGGTATGGAAGGTGTAGTTAATGAAGAAGGTGTAGTGATTGAAGATATGAATGAAATGTTGAATGTAGTGAAGGAATTTTATGCCAAATTGTATGAAGAGAAAGAGAGAAATAGGAAATTAGAAAATGAGGTATTGAGTGGTGTGGAAAACGGAATAAAAGAAGAAGATATGAATTGGTTAGTGAGAGATGTGAATCAAGTTGAGTTGTTTGAAACCATGATGGATTTTAAGTTAAATAAAACACCTGGATGTGATGGGTTGCCTGTAGAATTTTATCGAACTTATTGGGATGTGATTGCGGATGAATTTTTACAAGTATGTGAGTTTGTTTTGAATAAAGGTATTATGACAGAGTCTATGAGGAAGGGGGTGATTGTGTTGTTGTACAAGAAAGGTGATAAGTATTATTTGAGTAATTGGAGACCGATAACTTTGTTGAATGTAGATTATAAGATTGTTGCGAAAGTGATTGCAAATAGATTGAAAAATGTGATTGAGGGGATGGTGGGAGAAGAACAAATCTGTGCAGTGCCTGGAAGACAGATAGCGGAGCATTTGATTGGATTACGTGATGTATTATGGTTTTGCAAGGAGAGGAAGCAAGAAGTAGCGATTGCAACGATTGATTTTGAAAAGGCGTATGATAGGGTGGCACATGATTTTATGTTTGAAATTTTAGGAAGAATGGGAATACCTGAAAAGATGCTAAATTGGATTAAATGTTTGTACAATGGGATAGTGAGTGTGGTTCAAGTAAATGGGTGGATGACTGAATGTTTTAAAGTGTGTTCTGGGGTTAGACAGGGGTGTCCTCTGTCCCCGATACTTTTTATATGTGTGATAGAACCTTTGTTACGAATGATAAGGAAGGATAAAGTGGTGAAAGGAGTTGAAATTCCGGGAAGTAGTACAAAAAGTATGAAAGTAATTGGCTACATGGATGATGTGACGGTAGTATGTAGGACTCAGGCAGGATTGAGGAGAGTGAAATTGTTAGTAGAAATTTTTTGTATGGCAAGTGGTTTTAGAGTGAATTGGAATAAATGTGCATGTATGGCTTTTGGGGATTGGAGAGAATTGGAATTAAGTGGATGGCCAGTGGTAGAGAATGGAATTCAAGTGCTAGGGGTTAATTTTGATATAGAGTTGAAAGGGAAAGAAAGTTGGAAGAAAGTGGTGAATAGAGTTAATCAAAAAATAGGATTATGGAGTGAAAGGGTATTGTCATTTGAAGGTAAAGTTTTAATCATTAAATCAATTTTAATTCCTATTATGTTATATTTAAGTTTCATTTTTCCCCCTAATAACAAGAATTTGAGAAAGTTGATTAGAATTATATTTTTATTTTTCTGGAGCAGTAGAATGGAGCGTTTGAGCAGAGAAAAGGTGATGAGGAAACGTATAAATGGTGGTATGAATGTCCCGGATATTGAAAAATTTTTATTGATTCATTA